CCCTCCCTTCCCTTTCTCTTCATTGTTTGGTTCCTTCCTTTGCAAAAGTTCTATTTCCTGGTTTCCTGTTATCTATATTTTATTTTGCTGTTTAATAGAATAGATTCTTTCCATATACACACACAAGTAAAGAAACCAGCACCCTAGAAGCCTTATACCCCCAGTATATGATCAGCACTTGGCAGTTCCGCCACTCCCTGTCTTCACTTCCAAGAAAGTACCATATTATTTGAAACTGTTTTTAAAAATGTGAATAAACAGTACTATGCCTGGGCAGATGTTTTTTAGTTTTTATTATATATTATATTTTTAGTATTTATTATATATCCCGTTGGAAATGCCCTTTTCATTATGGAACACTTGTTTGAGTGACGGTGTTCTGTGTGCAGCATTGACTATCTTAAGTTACTGATCTCCTTTCATTCTCCAGACTGCACGGTGCATTCTGTATGATAGCGCAGAAGCCTGGGCAGCAGGACCCATGGGCTGAATGTTTTGCACTAAGTTGTACGTGCATTTTCTGTGTTTTCCTGTATATATTTCACAATAAGCAAAATGATGGGATTTGCTCCCAGATTGCTTGAAATTCAATCCAGCCCTCAGATATTTGAGAACCAGAGAAGCCACCTACAAGGAAGTACCTATCTCTTGAAAAACATGCTAAATACATCATCAGTACATACCAAGCACAATGCACAGTACATTCATATTTCCTGGAGAAAAGGGTGTTAGGAACCTGAAGGATAAGAAAGATTTAGATAGATGGAGATGGCGCCATGGAGGCGCCTCTTATGGTTAGACTTCCCCTCTTATGGTTAGACTTAGGTAGATGTGCTCCCTGAGAGAGAAAAGAGAGGCTGAGGGGAGAACTTGGAAGTATCCCTCCAGAATTGGAGTGGGGAGTGAAGGAAAAAACTCACTTCCTGCCAGGCATGGTGGTGCACGCCAGTAATTCCAGCATTGAGGAGATTGAAGAGAGATTGCTGCAAGTTTGAGGCTGCATAGTAAGAGCAAAGCAAGATCCTTGTCTCAACAAAACAAAACAGAACAAAACAAAAACGCACATCTTTTGGAGATAGAAATGTCTGCAGGCATTGTGGTGCAGATCTATAATCTCAGACTTGGGAGGTTGAAGCAGGAAGATTCCTGCGAGTTTGAGGCCAGTCTGGACTATAATGAGATTCTGTCTGAAAACAAAATAAAACACATACACGCACACAGAAAGAAAGAAAGAAAGAAAGAAAGAAAGAAAGAAAGAAAGAGAAAGAAAGAGAAAAAGAAAAGAAAGAAAAAAAAGTTTTTTATGAATTTGGACAAAGGAAAAATGTGAACATGTGTTTTGTCATTTCAGTGTCAGATTAACAAAGAAAATTACACTAGCATAACACAGTGGCGGTTAAGTTATCACCTGGTCTCATCCCAGAAGTTGTTTTCTGTGGGTGGAGAGGTTGTGCTGCATGTTTCAGACCACACTGGTCACCAGGGCGATGGAGGTAGGGCTGAGGCCCCGCCTCTCAGGACAGCAGTGAGCACATTGGTTTTTTCCTGAGCTGATTCTGGGAAACCAAACATTGATTTCCGCAGCATTTCCCCATATCTTTGCTTGCTAACCTCAGGATTATCTTGAATAACACCCAGTTTTACACTTGTGCAAGGAACCCTCCCTGTTTCCTTCTCCTGAAACGAGCTAGCTTGGTGAGGTTGGTTTATATATTTATCAGGCTCCACATGGACAGAATGGCTTATTTTGTAGGAGTATTTGCTTACAGTCTTACAGTTTGCCCACTGTTTCTTCTCATGTGGCTGAAAGCTTTTTAAACGCAAGAATCTTGCCTGATACCAATTCTCATTATTAAAGAAAAAGCCAACACTTTTTCCCCCCTGTTGCTCTTTATTTTACCTTTTCCCATGATGCTTTTTGTTTTTATTTTTCTAGCTTTCCAAAGATATTTATCTTTAATCTCTTTGATTCTTCTTCCTTGTGTGTGTGACACTAGAGATTGAACCCAGGGCCTTCACCCTGAGCTACATCCCTCACCCTTTTAAAATTTTTTACTTTTTAAAATTTTGAGACAGGGTCTCACTAATCTGCCCAGGCTCTGTTTGAACTTTTACTCTTCCTGCCTTAGCCTCCCAGGGTACTGGAGTTACACACATGTGCTACCATCCCTGGCTTTGACTTTAACGTGTGTGTGTGGAGCGGGGCAGGTACTGGGTATTGAACCCAGTGATGTTCTCCCACAGAGCTACATCCCCAGCCCTTTTTAATTTTTAAATTTTAGACAGTCTTGCTGAGTTGCCCAGTTTGGCCTCAAACTCATGATTGTCTCTTTTGAAATGTGGAAGATTTCAAGCATCTGTACAAAGAATAGTAGAATGATTCCTTAAAGATGTTCGCCCATCATTAATGGTCCAACGCTCTTTGTTTTGGTTGATGCACGCAGTTATTTTCTGTAATGTATGCAAGCAGCTCTTGGATTCAAATAATTCTTAAAGAAGAACAGTATCTGTGGAATAAATCATCATTGCATCTCAGAAACCAAGCAGCAGTTTGCTTGCCTCCGTTAAGCTGTCTGAGTGGTTGAGTATTTTCCTGATCCACACCTTTGCAGAAGCTTATCTAGGTATCCAGTTTTACTGAGTAGATGGTGAATAATAAAATGATCCTCATGTTCCCTCCCACCAGAGCTCATCTTCTTCTGAGACTCACAAGCCTGGTTCTTACACACCTATTTGTATCAGGAATCCTTTCCTGTTTCCACTGACATCCTGTGTCTTATGGTGCAGGGCCATCCTGGGACTTGAGGCCTCAGAATCAGGTGACCAGTGCATACACTATAGAAAACCAGGAAAATCTGCATCTGAAGACAAGTCCATGAGACTGAGCATACACTGCAGCAGGATCAGGTTACTGCCAGGAGTTCCAGTCACGTTGGTCTCTGTGTTTGTTTCTGGTGTACTCCTAGGCTTTGACGGTGTCCTTTTTACCTGTGATACCCTGAGTGACTGAAATAAACTAAACAGATGCCTTTTTGTACTGCCCTGCTTTCTCTGGAATGGGACATTTTTGCTTCTCCTCACTCACACAGCGTCAGGGCCACATTGGAGTACCTGGGTCCTAAATGTACTTTGACAAGTTTGTTTCAGCAGTGGATGTTGTGTGCCCTTGTTTCCTGTCTCTTGCATCAGTCTGTTTGTGAGAGTGTACCAGAGAGGTGATTAATGGGAAAGATAAACATATGCTTACTGACTGAAAGTTCTTCCTGTTTCCTAAAGTGTTTTCGATTTAGTGAATTGTTTGCTGCCCACAGACCACAAGCTGTTGATGGAGAAACCCTGTTCATCTGCTTGGCAGGTTCTCTGACATCAGTTTTTACAGTCTGTTTTTATTGCCTCCATTCGAAAAGTAAATGTTTGTTGAAAACTAAAGGTAGATTTGTTCTGCTATTCATATATCACGCCATGCTATTAATTTAAATATTAATTATTGGAAGTTCTATGCACAGTTGAAGATTGAAAAGTGGACTTGCTGGAGCCTTTCCACTTGCTTGAGCTTCATCCAGAGTGCTTTGACCAAATGATGATTTATGCTTCTATGTTGTGAATACTTCTGTTGTTGTGAGCACTGTGTGTCTTTGTGTAAAACCTGGTCCGTTAAACAAATGCCAGTATATACTAAGGCTTGAAAGATTTCCTTCATCTAAGAATGTCAGGTGATAAGAAGGATTGGACAGCTGTCTTGCCATAAACAGAGCCACAGGACTCTACATACAAAATCCTATTAGATGTTTGCTGCCTTGCCCCCCAGCTCTGAAGTGTGTACAGTGTGACTGTAGCTGTGGGTTTTGATTGGTGGCAGTATCTCCTCACTGTGCAGTCTCTTGCGTGAGGATTTTGCATGTTACAGCACAGTGCTGGCCCTCGTGCCCTTTTATCTCACCACCAGCTACCCAGACAATCCTTGCAGTGTGTGCCCAGGAGAACCTAGGCAGGGAAAATCAGCCACTTTTAACTGCTGTGACTGTGAAATTGACTTAGAGCAAAAGCTGTTTCCTAATTTATTTAGGAAAATTAATTGGAGAAAAGGAATGGGGACTAGACGTAGCTCTTGAGAGACAGGAAGGGTCCCACATGGATTGCCCACTTTTTCCTAATTCAAAAAGTAATGCCTGCTCTTGTACAAATTTTAAGAAATACAGAAAATGTGTACTTTGGGGGTTTGCTAATACTGCCAATAAAAATAAACATTTTTTAAACTCTTCATCTAATGTTTTTCTATTCTCTCATAGTTGCATTAATAGTGTCTGTACAATGTACTTTCTCCTGGACCTACCAGCATAAAGACTGAAAACTTCATTAGCCCTTTTAAAAGCTTTAATTTTTTTTTTTTGCCAAACAGATATTCCATGATTTCACCACATTATTGAATAGTAAAGACATTTGTAATGATATTGTAAACATCTTTATATAAAATCATTTTTTATATTTTATATTATTTTAAAACTAGATTTTATAGAACCTCAGTTAATGAATCAAAGGAAATCAACACTTAAAAGTTCCAGGATGGCTGTCACAGGCTGCTACCAAAGCAGGGTATCTCCATTTACCACCCAGTGAAAATCTGTTCTTTAAGCCACAGTTTGACATTTCTGAACAGGAATATCTAGCCCTCTTCTAGGTATCTGGCAAGGTAATGAATTGGGTTTTGGAAGTTCTTAAAGTTCCAGATAGTGGTCCTGTCACCCTTTGCCCACTGTGGCTTATGACTAGTTCTTCCTTCTGTATTTATCTCCCAAGTTATGTGGAAGTTTCTTGACAGCAGTTCTCAATTTGGTATCATTGACAATTATAGAACTTACGTTTGTGTCTTTGTGTTTGTTTCCTAAAGTGCACTCACGTGCATTACCTCATGTCAGTCAGCCTTCGTGGTTGGTATATCTTACGACTAGGGCTGGGATGTTCTCAACTGTGTCTGACGATGCCTTTGTTCTTTTGCACAGATCCAGTCCTTCAGGTCCCAACACACGTGGAGGAGTAAGTTTTCTCATTTGCTCAGCACTTCTCTTTAATTCATTACCTCATTTATTCAGGAAGCATTTGGGAGGCTTGTAGCTGGGATGCACACATGCCCAAGTTTAAGGTATAACCAAATGAGTGAGGGCTGAGAGCGCAGCTCAGTGGCAGGGTGCTTGCCTAGCATGTGCGAGCCCTGGGCCTGATCCCCAGCATGCGGGTGTGGAGGAGACAAAAAGAATACAGTCTTTCAGGTGCTGTGATGGGAACGGTAGTGCTGGAGTGTCCATTCCTTCTGGGAGGCTGGAGTGGTATTAAAAAGACTTACATAGGGTAAACTTAAGCTGAGTTTTAAATGGCGAAGTCTGGATCTCTCTCTTCTCTGTGTCATACCACGGGGAGGGAGATGATTGTGGCCTGCTCCTAGAGTACATGTGTTAGATGAGAAGTTGGCTGTCCTCTGTAAGAGCCCTCAGGTAAGGGCTCTTGAGCGAGTCAAGTTGTAGTCCCGTCTTCCATGGGTGGGCCTACAGGGGCAGTCTCCCGTCTGCTCAGTGGGAAGCTGTTGATAGAGAAACCCCTGTTCATGTTCTTGGCAGAGTCCCTGACATCAGTTTTCAATCTGTTTTTATTGCCCACATTTGAAAAAGTAAGTGTTGAAAACTAAAGGTAGATTTGTTCTGCCCATTCATGTATCATGCTGTGCTATTAACTATTAATTATCGGAGCTCTATGCACAACTGAAGAGAAGACTGGACCGGCTGGGTCCTTTCCACTTACTTGAGCTTCATCTAGAGTACTTTGACCAAATGATGGTTTACGCTTCTGTGGTTTCTCATGACTTCCTTCCCAAGCTGCTTTTCTCCACATTGTAGGACTATTTCATATATCTGTGGTGGCTGAAGGAGCAGTGGGTGGAGCTGTCACACACACACACACACACACACACACACACCTACTTCCCACTAATCCTGTGTTATGGCTTTGCATGAATTGATTGTTCTGTGCCTGGGCTGTCCTTTATCACTGATACTTATTATTTAATCTCTAGGCCTGCCTTCCTTCCAGATCCCAATGATGGAAGCCTGTATACACTTGGGGGCAAGAATAATGAAGGCTTGACGGTGAGAATTTTTAGCTTCCAAGTGTACTCTGGGAGTTCCCAACTCTGTCCTTAACTGTGTTGGCACATGGAGTTCACCTGGAATATTTAAATAAACTTCTGAGAAGCCGAGTGTGGTAGCACATGCCTATAAATCCAGCACTTGGGAGGCTGAAGCAGGAGGATCCCCGTGTTTCAAGCCATCTTGGGCTACATAAGCAAGTTCAAGGGTAGCCTCCACTACATAGTGAGACCCTGTCTCAGAAAAAGACTTCTGGAGATTCTGATTCAGGTGGTCTGGAGTGGATCCTGGGCATCAGTATGTTTTCAGAGCTTCCTAAATGAGTTTTCCTAAATGTGTAGCCAGAGTTGAAAAATGCAGACCCAGGCTGGCAGTTGCTGGTGGCCCAGTCAGCACACTGAGAGGATAAAAGTCTTGCTAGTAACAGATTTTCCTAACGTGATACCTTCAACTTAGGAGGAAGGGGTGTAGCTTGAAACACTGTCCCCACTCCACCCCCTCCAGTGTCTCTTTAGAGAAGCATGCGGTATTCTACCCCCAGCTCCATCTGGGAATGTAGACTTGTATTTTCGCTCTTTGCTCACATTTTTGTGATGTGGGGAACTCCTGAAAATTACTGAGCATAGATTAGTCTCCCATGAACTGTCTGCAGCCGAGGCTTTAATCCTCCTGCCTCTGCACCCCAAGTGCTGGCATTACAGCCATGCACCACCATACCTGGCGCATTTTTCCTTTTCTAAGGCTTAGTTTGAATGTTGGGATTATGGCCAAATCCAGATTGTTGGTTACTGTTTGCACTTTTGTTTTTAATGTTATAGAGGAATCTTTTTTTTGCTTAGAGAAAAAGGTGACAGTGTTATAGAATCCTGAGTTCTGTAACAGCAGGTTAAACAGTTTCAGGAACACAGGATGTTCCAAAAATAAAGTGCACTGAAACAAGCACTAACCAAAAGGACATGTCAGATGTCAGCTGTGGACTCGAGAATCAGTTTTATGATGAAATATGTTGAAACATTTGGATTCCTTCAAGTTTCTTTTTCTGGCACCTAACGTAAGTTCCTTTTTATAATCAAGAGATTCAGTTTTCTTCTGGTTTTTCAGTAGACAATTATTTGCTGAAGAGAGCACTAAAACATCTCTTTTGTACCTCAGACCCTTCTGTTATCCATGTAATGCTGCCTTCTTTCAAAGCTTATGCTGGCCCCAAGATTCCTTCTCGTTAGCATTAGTGTTGTGACTCCTTGCCGCTCTAAAAAGCATTGTCATTCTAGCTAGCTGGTGTCTCTTAGTCAAGTACTCCAAGACAGGAAAGTCCTTCTCCTACCTTTAAATGTGCAGCTCTCTCTGTTTGGGTAGGTCTTTTCACACAAGGTTTACGTCACCTAAGGTAGGTGCCCCGGGGAGGAGACCTGACATCGTGTGTCAGGCAAAGGAGTTCAGTTGCAGAACTCAGCCCAGGGTACCTCCTTTTCCTTGTGTTCCAGTTAGGAAAACTCATGTCTTTTAAGTGCTTCTTTCTTTTTAGCAGAACTGGGTAACACAAGCATACTGCCCAGTAAAATTTTTATAATTGCACAAGATTTGGTTAACTTATTTTCTTTGTTTTCTTCTTCTTCTTTTTTTTAAAGAAACTTCCCTTTACCATCCCAGAGTTGGTACAGGCATCCCCATGCCGAAGCTCAGATGGAATCCTGTACATGGGTAAGAGTTCCTGTTTTCAACACTAAAACTTGGATCTCTTTGACAGTGAGTCCCGTAATCCGGGAAAGTAGCAGTCAAGAGGGAGGGCTGCTGTCATCCTCTTGCTGATCCTTTGAGACAGGCCTTTCTGCCTTGATTATGTTGTGGTACTGTTCATGCCAGTATTGGCTGACCAATTAAGAAAAGGGTCCCCCTAGCTGGGAGAAATATTGACACTATTAATATAGTTACTCATTTAACAAGCTTTTAACTGCTGGGTTGGCCTATTTCTGTGATTTTAAGATTGCAACATACCCTGCTGCAACTGAATGAAATTTAAAGTGAAAATAATAGTCTGAGCCAAGGAAGGGAAGCCAGGTCCTGGCTACTAATTATAGGACTTTCTTAGTATTCTCTGCTATCGGGATATTGAGTAGAAATAGCACTTAACAGCTTGTCTAGATAAGCTGTCTTCATACCTCAGGGGTCACAGTTTTCAAAGCATCAACGCACCTGCTTTTCTTTACCACTCTTCTGCCAAAATGTCAATAAAAATGAAATTATAACACAAAGAAGGACTGTTTTTATCTTGAAATCATGATCGTGATAATAGCTTGTGTTTATATAGGAGCTTTTTTTTTTTAGGAACTGAAAGTGCTTCTTGCTTATTCATGTCCTGGAAGCTTTATGTGTATTTCTGAGTTTCAGATGCAAGCCAGCTTTTAAGTTTTTGCTAGGGACACTGAGACTCTTGCATCGTGCCAGTCCTTCAAACCGAGGAACTTTCAGCCTAGAGGTTCAAAAGAAGTAATCAGCAAGGCTTTCTCTGTCCTGCGGGCCATTCCCCAGGCCCATCTGACCATCTTCTGACCTTCGATGTTGCTGTTTGCTATCTGGGCTTCCAGCTTTTGCTAGCAGTTTGGTACTTACGTAGGACACTGGGGCATTATGTTTCCCTCATCTTTGTGTGGTGCCCTCTTAACTGACTTCATTAAGTGTATTTAAGAGCGTGGTAGTTGCCCAATTCATTTATTGAAGTTGTAGGCAGGTTATGCAGCCTGTAATGGTCCTTGAAGTAAGCATGTGTAAATCATTCCAAATGGGAAGAATTTATGGTCAGAGCTGCTTGGTGACAGTTTCATTTTGTTTTCATTAAAAAAAAATTAAGATCTTATTGTTGAGAAGAGAACTATAATCCATGAGCAAGTTGTACACATGTTGAACCCTCCTGTTTGTTACATCTGTTAGAATGAAGTATAGCTTTAGCAAATTTTAATGCCCCGTGATCCACTCCAGTACTGCAAAATTCTACTTCCAAGAGTCCTTGGTTGTAGGACATTTTTCTAATAAGTTAGTAAGATGCAGATGCCTCACAAAACAGAAATGCACACATCACAGTGACTGAGTTGATCTTCGGATTAGAAGCCCTGCCTACTGTCTCACTGTTAGCCAGGATGTCCTGGTATATATTCCATAGACAATGTGCTGTGGGTTTGCTGATAGTGTTGTTTGGCTTGTGGTGTCCACCTGTCCATATCTTTTAATCAGCTGCCCAAAGCAAGGGCCACGGTCTGTCCTTTGGGAATAACTTACAGCCTGGGTATACAGGCAGAGATAATTTTGGTTTCATTAGCGTCAGGTTACAACTAACTGCACTGACCAGGCACAGGTACTAGCTAATTATAGTTATCGATGATAACTATAGGTTTTCTTCACGTGTGGGCTAATTAATAAGAACATTGGGAAATAAGAATTGTGGTTACCAGGGAGACAAACTCCTGGGTATGTTTCTGTACTTACATAGCTCCTACCCCGTGGGAAAAAGAACTGCCCTTTACAAAAGTCGGGATTTTTTCATATTTAAGGCCACTAATCAAATCAATAACATCAACCTTAAAAACTAGGAGGCTTTTAGTAAGCTTAGTTTATTATATTTGGAGAAATTTGATATCATGATTGTATTATAAAATGTAAGATGTAGAGGCCCAAGAAGTTTCAACGTTATGATTTATTTTGTCACCTCAGAGAATCATAGAAATGTCTTCGGCCTGTGGATTCCAGGCCTCTTAGCACAGAGAATGCCCTGAAATCCAGAACGGCTGCTTTGGCAGCAGTATGTTTTTCCATATGGAATAGGTGCCAATGGCGGTGTTGTGTGGCCTTCCAGGTAAAAAGCAGGACATTTGGTACGTCGTTGACCTCCTGACTGGTGAGAAGCAGCAGACTTTGTCGTCAGCCTTTGCAGATAGTCTCTGCCCGTCAACCTCGCTTCTGTATCTTGGACGAACAGGTAAGGAATGAGCCTTGTGTCCAGCCTGCTTGCTTCCAGAAAGAGTGTAACCAATCTCCTCCATTGGCTCTGTTTCTGGCTTCGTTCTCCAGAAGGCGACCAGGGCTTTCTTCTCCAAACAGCATGATACTGCTTTCTGTAACCCTTCTGTGACCCGCATTGCCCAACACATACGTTTTAAGCTCCCCGCAGAACCCCCGGGTGCACTTGCCGCCTCCCTCTGCTCATCTTTCCCCGCTGCTGTCTTTGCTTCACTTTCACGTTTTTCCGCTTGGCTTGGGGTGTCTGAATAACTGTGCTACCTTACGGACTTGTAGTAGAGTGCTCCTCTCTAGCAGATACTCCTGGGTTTTTGGAAAATGTCCTCTCAGGCTGGCGATATAGCTCAGTGGCACAGCTCCTGCCTGGCAAGCCCAAGGTCCTGAGTTCAGTTTCCGGTACCAAAAAAAAAAGGGAACAAACTTGTATAAACATCAGATTAATGTTAAAAAGTCCCAGTGATTCAGGCCAAAATGACTTGGCTGTTGAAAATGTCCTCTCTTCTTCCGTAGCTCTGCTCAAAACTGCCCTTTGTGTAGTCTCTTCCTACGTTCAAAGCCTCCACCCTGCACAGGGATACTCAGCTCAGCTTTCCCACAGCATTTCAGTTAACATCGTCTCTACATATTTATAAATGTTACATGCCTATTTGCTGCCTCCCCCACTGGAATATCAGTTCCCTTGGGGAAGACTTTGTTTTCTTTACCAGCTGTGTATCTGCACTGGACATATTACCTGATGTATAGTAGGTGCTCAGATGTTTGAACAAGTGAATGGGTGAGCATGTTGCTGTGGAGACGTGCCTTACTTACTTGTGTATGTGCAGCACCTCACATGTCAGGTTTGGCATAACAATTGTGGAACACAACTTAAAGCTAAAAGCTGAAGCTAGAATACATCTAGAAGAAAATTATACCAAAAATCTAGGCTCCTGCAAATGTGTAAGATTATCATTCGTATATATTTATATGTTTTAAAAAGCATAGGATGAATGCATGAATGCATCATCGTGGTCTAACCATTCAGGTAACCAAGGCTGTACAGAGAGGCAGAACCTCCCCTCAGATGCAGTGGGAACAGTGCCTTTCTGCAGATTAGAAAGGCTGCTCCTGCTCCCACTTGTACTCCTAATTATAGAGGGAAGCACTCTCCATCCTGCTCCTGCAAAAATCAGCTGTTGTAATTGCTTAGGATTTGTGTATCCTTTTCTTTCCTTCTCTCCCCCTCCCTTGCTTCCTTTTTTCCTCTCTCCCTCCTTCCTTCCTTCCCTCCTTCCTCTCATCTTCTTTGTTTTTTGAGATGGCATTTTGTGTTGTAGTCCAGGCTGATCTTGAACACACTCTTTGCCCCAGGCTGGCCTCAAATTCACGGTGATCCTTCTGCTGCGCTCCTGAGTGCTGGGATTACAGGTGTGCGCCACCATGCCTGGCTTCGTTTACCTTTTCTATCAAGTAAAATCTTAGTAGTGATTCCAACTTCACCTGCTACAAAACTGTCTGTTCTTAGGGTAGAACTTGGACAGTAGGTGGAATGTGTATGTGCAGGTGCACAACTGTTGTTTCCGTTATCTATGGCTGCCCAATAAGCCACCTAACATAGCTCGTTAGTTGTTTCTGATTCTGTGGGTAAGGAATTCAGGAAGGGCTCAGCAAGGGGAGATCATCTCTATGCCGTGTGCAGGGCACACTCATGTCTGGGGCCTTGGTTCACCTCCACATGACCTTTTCCCTCACAGATGTCTGGACTTTTCAGCATGACAGCTGGGCTCCCTGTTGAATAAAAGTGGATGTCAGAATGTCTCATAAGTTCTGAGCTCAGTCTGGGCATGGTGGCACACACACATAGTGAGTTTAAGGCCAGCCTGAGCTACAGACTCTGTCTCCAAAAAAAAAAGTTCTGAGCTCAGAAGTCCCAGATTCTTACATCCTTTAACGTTGTAAGACTGGCCTACACCCAAGGGTGGAGAAACCAACTCAGCCTCTTAACGGAAAGAGTGACTTAGGGAAGAATTGTTGGTGGTAATCTTTCAGACAGCCTACCACGGTCTTCCTTCTGGCTGTAGTAGTTTTCAACCCTTCCACATACAGACATATTCACTTCTCCCACGACTCCCAGCATTCAGTCACAGCATCTCCCACCTCCAGTCCAGCCCTTGGGATCTGTCAGGTTTGGCGGGGATGAAGGTCGTCTGATCTGGAGACATGAGAATTAAAAGACAAGTTCTCTTTCTCCCCAGCCACCCCTCCCCCCCCATCCCCAGATGTGCAGTGGTAAGACAGAAGCTGGAGTGAACACTTCCATTCAAACAGGGAAGGACAGAGAAGCACGCATCAGATGCTGGACCTTAGTAATTCTGAAATCCAGCTAAGCACATGTTTTTAGGGGGTAAACGTACTTTAGGGGCAGGAATATTCCTTGATTCGGACCCAGTTTTATCCTCCATGATTTGTTCCTAATACATTGTTTTCAGTGCTTCTTGATTTTGTCCTCTGAGAAATCCTCTTTTCTATAAGAAATGACAAATTTTGTAGTTTTTCAGTCTGTTCTCTGTTTATTGAAAATAAGGGATGTAGGCTTTCTTTTTTACTATCTTGATCACTGTGGTCCATATTGATACTACTCCCTTAAAATCTTTGTGTGTTTCCCATATATTGAATTATCCATTTCATTACGTAAAAGCTGTGCCCATACAAGTCTGGTCTGAGATGTAGAAGTGCTATGGGAAAGTGCTCTTTGGGCTCTTTTTACCTAGCTCAGGATCTAGGACATTGGGGTGAACCTATGGTACAAGGGCCACAGTGGGCTGCATGTTACCATCGAAACCTCTAAAAAGTTTGCCATCACCAGTGTAGGAGATTCTACCTTAAATCTTTCTGAGGTCTCAAAGAAGGTGTGATGGTCTCACCCTGGGTGTGATCGAGTGCAACCTAACGCCATTTTTTTCGTCCCACTGCTCTGGATTTTATCTTTGTTCTAAAGCCATTTTCTTTACAGAGAATCTTTTCTCACTGGAGAATCTATCTTGGACCCTCTATGTTTCCTCTACATTTTGCTTGAAAGCTGGATGATTTTTGCTTTAGCTCATCATCTCGCAGTCTATCATATGCAGCCAAAAAAGCTGTTTAGCAGTTTCTTCTTCCAGCCCAGAAAGCTCCTTAGCCGGGTCTTCCAGTCATCACTGTGTCTGTATTCCCACTTAACGTAAGCACGTCATGATCTCAAGCTGTGTCACCCTGTTTCAGCTCCTAATGGTAATTTCCTCTTGCTTACTCAGATCACCACTGACAGTCTCCTTGTCACCTTGCCAGCCTCTAACTGGTCACAAAGTCAGTGCTGCAGTTCGCAGGTTTCTGTTCTGTCACCATTCTCTTCTAGGTACTAAGTTTTAATATTGTCCATCTATTGCAGGATAGTAAACCACCCCCTAGTTAGTGGCGAAGACAATTGTTATCCTGCTCATGACTCTGTGAGCAGTGAGTTCTAGGGTGCAGGAGAGGGTGACTTGTCTCTGCTTCACAGCTGTCTGCTGGTTCGCACATGTGTGGGCCTTCATGTTCTTGGTAGCCTTCATGTTCCATGTGGGTAGTCTGGACTTTCAAACATGCAATTTAGGGAGAATTTATTTGTTGTAACTAGATAAGTTCGACACCTCAGTAGGTGCCACGGTCCCTCTGTGGTAATGGGCTTGTCTGTGTCATCCAGAATACACTATCACCATGTATGACACCAAAACCCGAGAGCTTCGCTGGAATGCCACCTACTTTGACTACGCAGCCTCCCTGCCTGAGGATGATGGGGACTATAGTAAGTGCTTGCAAGGCTGGCGTGGCCCCTTCCACCCATGGGAAAAAGTTGTTGCAGAAAGCAGAATATTCTTGTAAGTCACTGGGTTCTGGACTTCCCATAGGCCTAAAGTAAATACTTCACACAGTCAGTGTGGCAGAGTCCTGGGTGAGAAGTCCTGCGGGGAACTGAATTAAAATGCTGGTGAGGTTGAGGAGTGCACACCTTACTGAGTCCTATGTGTCACAGAAGAAATTTGGTATAAGCTTCTGGGCAGTATAAATACAAGTCAGCACATGACATCAATAATCTCATGGAGAAGGCCACTCTGACGGTGGTTTCTTAGTTATTTCTTTAGTTAGCACTCCCCCAACTCCAATGATAACTGAGAAAGCCAATTTTGGCATCTGAACATTGGTATCTGAAAGTCTAATTCTGCCTTTTCTAGTCCAGGCCCTAGAATAGTTTCATCTGTCTCTGAGTGCGCCTTTGTGAGTCACATGAACACAGGTGTGACTTTATTGAGTCAAATTTTAACTTTTATTAGTACATGTTTACAGTACATAATGATAATATTCATCGTGGGGAGTTTATACACGTACATAACACATCTCAATTCTTTTACTTCTGCGCCCTTCCTTCCTCTTCAGTGTCTTGGTACTGAGGACCCTGAGCGCATTTATTGGAACCAGTGAAATTGTTCTGAGAATATTCTGGAAGTCTTGTTTCCTCTAGCCAAGTTAATGTAGCTTTCTAAGAAACTAGAGGATGTGGTCGCAGGATGTGGTGAATACTGACGTGTTTTATTGTTTGATGCTTACAGAGATGTCCCATTTTGTGTCCAATGGCGATGGCCTGGTGGTGACTGTGGACAGTGAATCTGGGGATGTCCTGTGGATCCAAAACTATGCCTCCCCTGTAGTGGCCTTCTACGTCTGGCAGCGGGAGGGTCTGAGGAAGGTGATGCACATCAACGTTGCTGTGGAGACCCTACGCTACCTGACCTTCATGCCCGGGGAGGTGGGCCGCATCACCAAGTGGAAGTACCCATTTCCCAAGGAGACCGAGGCCAAGAGCAAGCTGACGTGAGTTAGGGAGAGGGGCAGAGGGGCACAGCTGGAGCCCTGCGTTCTGCTTCTTCTGCAGCATTGCATATCCACACTGGCGGAGTTAGGGTTCAGGCATATGTCCCTGAGGCCAGAAGCTTAACAGCATGAGAACCAAGGACACCCCTTGATGCTCCAGAGTTCTTGAGTATCAGATAAAAATCATGTGATGGAAGGAGACTGCCAGTAAAACTACAGTGTAATTCGGATATATCTCTTGTAGAGATACAAGAGATTAATCCTTTTACTTTATGCATTTTCTAAATGTTTATTGTTAATGTTCCTATCCAACACTCAGCAGGCTTATATGCTCAGGCTCCACCTATTAATAAGTCTGTCACTCAGTCACTTAACAACATCAATCCTCTTTATAGGGAAGGTCAAGTAAGGTAACGTGGCTGACTGTGCTGCCCAGGTGGAAGGTGTTTGCTGAGAGAGGTTCAGGTAGCTTAGCGGAAGACCTGCCTGACAAGGCTTTGCCAGTAGTGACCAGAGGGTCTGGAGTGCAGCGTCCCCTGTTCTCATGCTGGCAGTACAGCCGTTACCCCTCGTCCCCTCTGAGAGGCCTCAGGCAGGGACAGATCACTGGCCATAGGACTGGAATTGCCGAGTTTGGCATTTCCTTTGCCTCACTTTTGTGGCTGAATGTTCCTGGAGCCTTTACAAAGCCTCTACTCCGTGAAAGCATGGTATGGCAGTGATCTGGGGGTGGTCAGTGTCCAAGTGTGCTGGCCAGGGCCATTAGGAGGCTTTGGCAGCAAGTGCTAAGTGTTCAGTCTCCTGACTGGTTATTGGATACAATCCTTTCTGTAGGCCGTCTTAGGCACGGCCTAGTCCTGCCATTCTGCAAATAAGGAAACTGAGGCTTGCTGTTAGATGACTTGTCTACATTTCTCTAGGTGGCAAGTGACACTGATGTCTAAAGTATCCTGTTCCCTGGCAGTGCCTACTTCTGCTTTTCCCATGCTGGGGCTGGTAGCTGGGCCTATGATTTTGCTCTCCCAAAGGCCCCTTTTATGGAATCTGGACATGAAATGACTGGAATATGGGTGTCTCCTCTTTCCAGGCCTACCCTGTATGTTGGAAAGTACTCCACCAGCCTCTACGCCTCCCCCTCTATGGTGCATGAGGGGGTCACCGTTGTGGTGAGTTCACTATGGTGTTCACAGATATGGCCTTCTCCGTTTTAGTAAAAAATTACCTGAGCTGGGTGTGGTGGCACACACCTGTAATCGCAGCACTAGGGAGGCTGAGGCAGGAGGATTGCATGAATTTCAGGGCAGCCTGGACTACTCAGTGAGACCCTGTCTTAAAAAAAAAAAAAAGAAGAAGAACAAAAAAAGAAGGACCTGGAGTTTTATGTGAATGTTCTGCTTGTTAAGAATTCAAAACACAGAGCTGCATGTCTCAGGAATGTCTCCAGCATATGCCGGCTGTTTCTGTAAAAGCAACCTACCTGACAGTAACCGTTTGCTAAAGCCAGGAAGCCCTAGGTGGCTGTGTTGCTTTTGTGTTCAGCCTGAACTTCCCAGGCAGTGTCCAGGCCCCTCATAGGATGGTCTGAACAGTGTCCGCCACTGCCCATTAGTTTCTGTGTGGGAGCTCTACCTCCCAGCTGATCCCCAAAGGTTCCCCGTTCAGCTTTCTTCTGAGCCTTCTTCCGGACTTGCTTCACACGTCACACTTCAGGGCCCTCCCTCTCTCTCCAGATCCCTTCCAGGCTTAGTGCTTTCCCAGCCCCCACTGGTCCTTGCCAGCCTTTCTCGAGTGCCGACTGTGCCTGCAGCCTTCTGACGCCAGCCACTGTCCTATCTCCCCAGGGCTGGGCGGGGAGGTTGTCCCAAGTGTCCTCAGCAGGCTGGCCATTGCTACAGCAGCAGGCAGTGTCTGCCTCTCAGCTCTGTAGTGAGCACATGGCCGTTCACCTCATTTGTAACAAGAGCGATGCACCCTGCTCCTTCGCTTAGATCTGCTTCTAGTCTTTCTTCTCACAGTCCCTCCCAAAGGCCCCAGTGTCCACAAGTGAGAGCCTGAAGAGCACTGTCGTGTCCTGAGGGTAGAACTTCACTTTCCCAGTCCTGGGGCCGTTGTGCCATGCTCTGACTGCCCTAGCTGGCCCCACACTAGAACCCACTCAGCTGAAGCCACGCAGTTCCCGCCAGGCTGGGCAGGGGTGTTGCAGGATCTGTGAATGCCCCTCCCCATACTCACCATCCCTGTCTCTGCAGCCCCGAGGTAGCACTCTTCCTTTGTTGGAAGGCCCCCAGACGGATGGTGTCACCATTGGGGACAAGGGAGAGTGTGTGATCACACCCAGCACAGACCTCAAGTTTGACCCTGGGCTCAAAGGGAAGAGCAAGCTCAATTACTTGAGGAATTACTGGCTCCTGATAGGTAAGTGCCAGGCTCTTGTTGTGGCCTTAAGTGGTGGCTTGCTGCCTCCTGGTGGGCAAAAATGCCCTGGCTGCTTTACTGCTGCCTGTGACTCCAAGTGTATGTAGTGCTCTGTTCACTCCAAGGTGGCTGTTGAGATCTTGGAACAGTTTTATTCTCAACGAGAACAAACAAGGTAACTGGGTTGTGAGTGGGTTCTCAAAAATTGTTTAATGTCCCAAAACTCAGCTACAAAGTAACAAAGTTTGTGATTATCTGACATGAGAGTGTCTGCTCCTAATTCTCTAGAGACTGAGGCTGTTCCTGTTCCTGTGGGAGACTGGCCCAGGGTCTGTGTGGGTGAGCGGCTAGGGGAGGAGGTGATTGAGGGCTCCAGGGGGCTGAGTTGTGGAGAGTCAGCGGCTGCTCTTGGGTCAGGGCAGGGCGTCAAAGGTGTGTAAGGTGTGTGTGCTGGGGGGATTAAGGTTAGGTTAGGTCTCTTCCCTTCCTTTTCTCTTCTTTTTTGGTGCTAAAGATGAAACCAGGGCCCCGTTCATGTTAAGCACATGCTCTACCATTGTGCTCACCACTTTTTCCTCTCTTTCCATTTTTGCTGCCGACATTGGTGGCCCTGAGGTTGAATTGGAAGTTTATTTAGCTGTGTCACAGAGAAATAAGAGGTTGACATGACCTGAAGGCAGTGCGTGTGACAAATGAAGGCAGAGGTGAGAGATACTGTGTCCCTGGCAAGTGTCCCAATTAGAGCAGTATGGAGTTTTCTTGAGTCTAATCTGCCTTTTCTGTGCTTCCCCCAACACATGTGCACGAGCACACATGCACATACACATACATAAACACACACACACGCACACTCTCTGGTTCTACTGCCTCCCTGCCAAGAGCTGGGGAGAGATGGGGATGAGTCCGTAGACTGGTGGGGGAGGCTGGCCAGTTGCCACAGTGCTCTGAGGCTGCTGAGGCTTCTCATTCTCTTCCTCCTGGTGCCTGCAGAGAGATGTGTCCTGGCTGGGGATGCAGGCGCTGGGCTGTGTGGGCCCAGGGAGCAGCAGGACCACCAGGCAGCAGCCAGATGGGGCTGTGTGGGTTCAGCAACCGCAGAGGGAAGCCCCGTGTGCCTGAGCTCTGATCATTCTTTTGTGGGTGTCCAGAGCCTGTTCTTTGTTCTCCTGATTCTGTGGCCATTTTTATCATGGTTATTATTTTTACCAAATAATAAGGAAAGGATGACAAAAGAATTGTTCCTTTTTTGCAGAGGTAGTTTAGGAAATGCACATGGACGGGCCTGTGGTAAGGAAAAGACAGCTAATTAAGCAGAGGCCATTATGTTTACAAGGTCACACAGTTTTACATAAACTACACGCCAGTGGTTAAGATGCAGCACTAAGGAAATGTGTGGGAGAATACAAAAAAAGTAGGTGAAGAATTTCCACAGATAAATTGAAATCTCTTTAAAATAGACAAGTTGTCCAAGTGAAAAAAACTGGAGAGCCTAACCTAAGTATGAAGTAGTTAATTAAGGGCCCCACCATTCCGGAGAGCCTTGAGGAACTGCATAGTGAGTCATTTTTAAATAAGACAGTGTGAGGACTTGACAGCCTTCTTCTAGACTAGAACCACAGGGTATGCCCAACTGTGTTCTTTGATTGTGGACTACATTAAAGATACCCGACACTCACGTGCATCTGGAAGACAAACTGTGAGCCCAAGAGGTGTGGCCTATGGTTGCCCACAACCAGTAACCCTTACCTGGGATGCTCTCAGCTTGAACCAGAGCTTCAGTAAAAAAACACTGTCTCTGGAGGGCCTGATGCAAGAGGTCCAGGGTGGGACCTGGCCCTGTGCGTTTTACTCTGGAGTCTGACCCTACTGGTACTGATAATAAGTAAGTCATAGGACTAGTGCTATTGATACAAGAACATTAGGGACTTTGTGATTCTGTTGGTCAGAATGTGGCTCGAGATACTACTAAAGGCCCAGCTGTAGGAGGAGTCAGTGCATGTAGACTACCGGAGGGAGAGGAGGTTGAGGTTCGTGACCTGCATAGCAGTCTCTTTCTTGGTAGGTGCCCTGCAGACAGGTAGGACTCAGAGCCTTCTAAGAGTTGGCATTTCGAAGGAAGGCAGGAAGGCCCTGCAGCACAGGGTGTAATGTAGAAGGGCCACCTTGGTTCTCCTAGTGTGGGTGTCTTGTTACCTGAGGTTACCTGTGCTCACCTTCCCATCCACCAGCAAGTCTGAGGCAGGCAGCCACACGGGAAACCCTGCTCCTGAGCGAAATGTATCTCAGGGCTCCCTGTGGACAAGGGCTTTCTGGTGGACAGAGGAAGACTTGAGGTAGTTTAAAACAAAAGTAGGTTTCCCTCCAAGAATGATGTTACATTGTAGGTAGAGAATTGGCCTCAAAATGGTGGATTAAAGAGGGGATCAAATGTAGTTCAAGCTGACCTTGAATTCACTGTGTAGCCCAGGCCGGCCTCAAGATGGGGGATTAAAGAGAGATTTTCCAGACCAAGACACATACTGATTCAAACTAGTTACTGTTGCTCTTTATCTTAGCACAGCATCGTACAATCTTATAGGTTTGGGGAAAAGATCCTAAGGTGAGCAAGACCTAAATCAGGGTGAGGTCTGATTCCAGTGAGAGAGGAAAGAAAAGCCTGCCCAGCTGCAGACAGTCTGGGTGGAACAGTGACCTGGATCTTTTGGACTACATTTAGAGTCACTTAATTTTTTTAAATTTGTTTGTTTTAGATGGGATCTCACCATATAGTTCAAGCTGGCCTTGAATTCACTGTGTAGCCCAGGCTGGCTTCAAACCCATGGTGATCCTCCTGCTTCAGCCTCTTGGAATTATAGGCATGTGGACTATGCCTGGTTGGAGTGACTTAATTTTAGAGCTAAACAGGTTATCAAACTATATGAAATCCCAGGACCTAATCTTAATCATCTTTGTGTCTCTTATGGTAATTTGAACCCAATAGATGCTCCCATCAGTGTGTAACAAGTGCCAGGTAGTGATGAAGTAGTTATGTGGAGAACAGTGAGAGAGCCACAGGCTCCCTGCCCCTGTCCATCTGGCAGATTTCTCTTGTTCTCTTATGGGTAACTCATCAGGTAGGTAGAAGGAGGGCTGGACGTCCATCTGGATAACTGAGTAACTGAGTAACACGTTTGGGAGCCTTGGCAGAGTGATGTTTCTGGGGAAAGCATGGAAAGGAGGGCTCCTTGGACTTCAGATGGACATAATGCTTCACCTGTGAGTTGGACACAGACAGCCACACAGGCCTTACTTTGAATGTATCCCAAATATTCTGATCCCTCTTGTGACAAGGACATTTCTTTGTTCTCACTGGGAGTCTTAGAATACTGTGTTCTGCCACTGCTTAATCTGATTTCTGCTTTGATGGCATCTTCAGGTGTTTGCTTTCATTTCCTCTCACTTTCTAGCTGGGAGGTTTGGCCTGTGGACCCCCAGTAGCTAGCAAATGCTATGTAGCTCAGCATTGAGTGTTATCACTGCTTGGGAAACCGTTCTCACTAGAGATTTGTTTCCTCATAGGACACCATGAAACCCCACTGTCTGCATCCACCAAGATGCTGGAGAGATTTCCCAACAATCTGCCCAGACACCGGGAAAATGTGATTCCTGCTGACTCGGAGAAAAAGAGCTTTGAGGAAGTGAGTTAGGAAGTGAACTGACCCGCTGCTGGCTCATCCCATGAGGTGTCGGGGTTAAAGCAGTAGACTTTGCCCTTGCAGTAGAGGGTTGCACCAGAATCCATAGCAGATGAGATAAGTGGCCACGGGTGGATGGGGCGCAACAGAAGTGAGTAGGGAGGGAAAGTACAGGAAAGGCAGCAGGACAAGCGAGACCTGGAGGGACACATGGTGCTTGGCTTGGTGAGCAGGAGCCAGAAAGCAGTGGGGGCAGGCGAGGCCAAAGGTGAGGCGCGGTGGGAATAAGCGGGAATGAGTATCAGTGGGTTGAGAGGAAACGGCTACTAATCAAAGAGCAGTGGGAAATGAGCTCCCATGCGTACAGAGGAACTATGTTAGCAGCCTGGGCTGGAAGAGTAGCGTCCTGTAAAGAAGCAGGGAGACCTCAATGTTAAGAAGCTAAAGGCAGCCTATTGAAAGTGGCCTCCTAGCTGGGCGTGGTAAAGCACACCTGTAATCCCAGCACTGAAGAGGCTGAGGCAGGAGGGTTGCTACAAATTGGAGGCCAACCTGAACTACATAGTGAGACCCTGACTCAAAAAAAATTTAAAAAACAAGTATATGACCTTCTTTGGCTGCTCGATGTGGCGAAGCCACATGAGAACAGAGCCTTAGGTAGTAGGGAGGCCATCCCAGGTGGCAGCTGCTGAGATTCTGTTGTAGGCTGTAGGAGACAGGATGTATCATCAGGGGTCAGCTGAGACAGATGGCTCACCAGAGTTCGAGGGGAATTGAGTAAGGGGGTTTTTCACATGGAGGTGGTAATGCCAGGCTCTCACAGCATCCTTGGCCAGAAGCCAGGCAGTTCTCCAGGCCAGGTTCTGAGGGTTTGGGTAAAGGAGTTCAGCAGCCCCACTGAACTCAACCACGATCTCCTCCGCTTGTCTCCTCTGCTGTGCTTCCTCTACCTTCTCCCAGCCAGAGAGGCCATCGTCCAAGTCCACACAAGCCCAAATCCATACAGTCAGCTTTCTGGGGTACAGAGCAGGGGCTCTGCGGCAGAGACCCTGTGTGATGTGATCAGCAGGGGGGCTAGAGAGAATCTGGAGGCCTTGGAGGGCCTTTAGAGCTGGCAGTTCCTGCAGTCCCACCGTGGAAGCTGGGGGTTCAGGATGGAGACAAGGCCTGGACTGGGAAAGGCCAGAAGGAGGACAGGTGCTGATGTGGGCACCCAGTAACAAATGCACTTGAGAGACAGGGTTTTGTCCAAAGGCAGAGGAAAATCGTGATCTTTGCAGAGTCCAGGGCACAGTGTCTGTGATCCTTCACCTCTGGAGAGAGCCAGGTGGAGAAATACACGGATTCTTAAGACAGCAATCTTGAATAGCATGGCCCTGAAATCTTCTCTAAGCCATGAATATGCGTTATTGAACACTAAAAAATAAACCTATAAAGACGGAAGTAAGACAGTATCCTTAATCTTATGCACACAGCTAGCTAGCCACAGCAGTCCAGATTTTTTTCTTCTTTCTTTCCTGTTTTTTCTGTGCAGAGGCTGAACTCAGGATCTTTCACACTAAGCTACATCCCTACCTCTTTTTTATTTAAAAAAATTTTTTTGAGACCAGAATATATGTATTGGGGAAAGAAAACTTCTGTCTGAGAGAGACAAAGTTTATTTAGTTATTTATTTTTGAAAAATTTTATTTTTTGGAGATATCCTCTCACCATATAGCCTAGACTGGCCTCAAACTCATGGTGATCCTTCTGCCTCAGCCTCCTAAGTGCTGGGATTACAGATGTGTACCACCATGCCTGGCTCAAGTTTTTTATTTTGAGACAAGGTCTTACTAATTTGCTAAATAGCCTAGGCTGGGCTTGAATTTTCTGTCTTCCTGCCTCAGCCTCCCAGATTGCTGTGATTACAGACATAACCACCATGCCCAGCTCATAGTACAGATTTTTATATTTAACCATCTGACTTAAAGCATCTTTTTAAAAATCCATCAAATATTCTGAGATGTAACTGTATGGTAATGAGACTGGCTTTTTATACACTCATGAGCAGGTACTGCTAAAGGAATATTACACCTGTCAGGTCCTTGGCAAGCCTTCCTCAGCCTGCTGTGCACCAGGCAGGTGCCCCCAACTGTGAGACACTGAGGGCACATGAACAAAGGAAGAGGTCCTGAGGGCTCAGGGAGCAGTGGAAAGGGAAGAGAATGACTTAAGAGGCAGACTCCTGGGGTGGTGAAATGCTGCCACAGCGGTAAATCCATGCGCATGACCGCATGCGCATGACCGGGAGGCTGTGATGATTTTTTTTTTCTTTTTTTTTTTTTTCTGTGATGATTTCTTTGAGCAAACACAACCTGCCAGGAACCCTAGGTGTTTGAAAAGAGAGCAGTACATTTTTCTTTTTTTTTTTTTTTTGGTCTTTTTATTGGTACCAGGGATCGAAATCACGACTGCCTGCTTACAAGGCAGGCGCTTATGCCGCTGAGCTAAAACCCCAGCCCCTTGCAGTACATTTTTCTAAAAAGATTCAGAAACCAGGCATGGTGCTTAGCCCTATAATTCTGGCCTGGGCTGCATCATGAACTTGAGGCCAGTCGGAACTACATAGCAGGAGCCTGTCTTTCTCAATCTCTGTGTATGTTCCATGAAGTTCCAGAGATTCTGGGAGGAGGGCTCCCTTTTTATTTGAATTAATTTGGGACTTACAAATAAATTCGTCTTTAGTAAAGGCTAAGTGCTTTCTGATGCTTTTTAAAACTTTGGGAAAAGTAGAGTTCTTGAGTCGTTGATTTTAGAGTTGTGCTGAAAGTTCACAGGCTTACAGGAAAGGGGCTTCACTACTTCCTAAGCACGTGTCTACCCACAAGGGCAGCTTTCTTTTTCCATGTGAAAAGACATCAGAATTACTCCCAACTTTGCACCAAACTTTGTTACCGATAATTTCAGTTTCCCCAAACCAGATCTACCATTAAAGGAGGACATGTTTTGCCATTTTTTGAGGGTTTTTTCAAAAGAATGTCAGAGTCTGAAGACATTTCTGAAAATATTGCTCTGAAATTGGTTTTTGAGCAATAGTAGCCACTGCAAAAATGCGTGGCCTGTCAGAGCAATTACTGGGAGAGACAGCAGTTACCTGACTAAGTAACTTCTGATGAGCTAAAAAGAAAAAAAAAAGTATAAATGGGGATTTCTTGTCTTGATCAGTCACTTCATGAGTATCTGGCTAAAAACTCTGTAGTGATGTAGTAACTTTCTCCCATCCAAGGTTATCAACCTGGTTGACCAGACTTCAGAAACTGCACCCACTGCTGTGTCTCAGGATGTGGAGGAGAAGTTGGCTCGTGCTCCTGCCAAGCCTGAGGCCCCTGTGGACTCCATGCTCAAGGACATGGCCACCATCATCCTGAGTACCTTCCTCCTGGTCGGCTGGGTGGCCTTCATCATCTCCTACCCCCTGGTAAAGCTCAGCTCCTCCCCTCCACCTCCCTGCTTCTCCCACGCATTTTGCCAATCTCCCAACAGTGAGAGCCACACAAAAGCAGCCAGCATATTTCTTTTCACAGCTAAGGTCAATACTTGCTTATCTTCAAAAGCATTGCGGTTGAAAGAAGAGCTTCTCAGAAAAGGACAATTTTGAACCTAAATCTTAGTATTTTTCAATAAATAGGCTGGAAAAGGTCATTTTTAAACCTCCCCACAGATCGTTTTGAAAAGTTAATTGTATCTTCTTTATTAACGGTAGGAATAATAAGCGAAAATCTTTCCTCAAACTGCCGTTAAGTCAGCTGGAGTGAAGCAGCAGCAAGGTGACTCCTTGACTTTCTAGTTGAAAATAAGCAAGTAGCATCATCTGGTCGAGTGGGTGGTGGGTGAGAGGAGACCTTGGTCCTTTAGCAAGTTGCTTACGCACTGTGGTGTTACCGCCTCAGAACACAGCATTAGTGTGGGACTCAAGTGACAAAGCCTTTATGCACTTGCTTTCTGCAGGCAAACACTGTTCTGTGTTTTAATTTGTGCAGTCCTGTGAGGCTATTATGTGTCTTCTGTCCACATCAGAAGAAAGTAGGTTCTGAGACACTAAGTACCTTCCTAGTGTATGGTGTTTTCAGGACTTGAACAGACAGCACAAGCTAGAAGCCGCCCCAGTGGCTTGTTGGCTACGCCTCAATCTCTTTAGTCAACCTCCCATGCCCGAGTAAGATAATCACAGGCTGGTGTGACCTCTAATGACGACGGAGCATCCTTAAGAGTCTGTGAGAGGAGTGGGTAAGGGAGGCGGGGCATGGAATCAGGCAGCAGGTTCTTGGCCAAGTCTCTCCAGCCCCACCCCAGCTCATCCTGGCCACACTGCTGTGGGTGTGTGGCAGCAAGCTTCTGACCCCCCACCCCGCTTGCTGTCTGCCGTTGGACTGCCAGGCATCTGCTGACTTCCTCAAAGGGAAGGCTGAGGTTTGCTGCTCTCCACCTGGTGACTGACCATTCTTTCCATCTGGTTTCACTTTTATATCCCCTGTCAGACTTCCATAAAAGTTGTAGAATTCTAGGTTATTTATATGCAGCTCCCTTCCCGTGGCTCAGCCTTCTGCCTGGGACAGAGTTCCCTGGCACTCCTGTTTATCCCCTGGCAGGACCATCCAGGCTTGGACGTGAGTCATACTGGGAAGGATCTAACTGGCAGAAGGACCTGCAGGCATCCAACTGATTTGGCCTCTCAGTGTGACCCCGGGGTCACCTGAAGTCATCTGCCCCCTCTGCCATGGGGAGCGCCTCCTCCCCATGGCTGGTTTCCCTGGGGGAACACCACACGGGTCTGATGGAGGTGTCTCTTTGCAGAGCATGCACCAGCAGCGGCAGCTCCAGCATCAGCAGTTCCAGAAGGAGCTGGAGAAGATCCAGCTCCTGCAGCAGCAGCCGCCGCCCTTCCACCCACCTGGAGAGTTGACACAGGACACTGAGCTCCTGGACACGTCCAGCCCTTACTCAGAGAGCTCAGGGACCAGCAGCCCCAGCCCATCCCCGAGAGCCTCCAACCACTCACTGCATTCCAACAGCTCTGCCTCTAGGGCTGGCACCAGCGGCTCCCTGGAGCAGGATGATGAGGGTAAAGCTCTCGACATCTCTGGGCTGTTTATCTTCCTTTGACTCTGCATGAAAACCGTAGAGCACCATGTCCTTCCATGGTATCCCCTGAGGTTAGGAAGGGCTGTTCCCAAGGACTCACTGTCCTCCCCTGACTTCTTCCCACCCCGTGGGTCTCTGTGGGATGGGCTCCTGTCTCATCACATGGCCTGTCTCTCAGAGGACTTTGCAGGGTCATGTTGGTGACCCTTGTGTCCTCCACAGGCGTGGAATCCCTGCTGACCATAGCGGGAGCTCTGTATCAGACTTGTGAAAATTCCAAGGCCTGCTAGTGGCCAAGTAGAAAAGTGCAACTGTGACCCATTTGCTGGGAGTTGGCTGAGGTCAAGCTAATATTCAGCGGGGACTGACATAGACTGTTTTGGGACCTCGGAGCCCTGAGCCCCAAAAGGTCTCTTTATTTTATATGTTCACCATCTCCACTGGAATGTTCCAGGTGCAGAGCTTTAAGGTGAACCTTCCTTTTTTTGCTAGTTATTAAATGGTGCTAAGTGGCTGTATGAAGAATTCTGTCTTCCAGGAAAGTTTGAAGACGTGCATTCTTAGGATAATATAAAATCAGAAACAGAATTCAGGGCCAAGGACAAAACACAGGGGAGGAGGCATCAGCCCTGGGCATAAATTGGCAGTGAGTGCAGCCCACTGTTTCCTACCAGAAGTCTGGACAGGTGCTGCTTAAATTTCAACTTCCCAGCTCTTAATTGGAAGTCAGGAAGTTGGTAGTCATTTTTAATCCTGAAAGATTTTGTTGCTATTATTTTTTGTTTGTTTTATTTTTGTCTTTTTGAGATAGGATATCATTATGCAGTTCAGGCTGGCCTTCAGCTTACTTTGTAGCTCAAAATGACCTCAAACTCCAAGGAATCCTCTTGACTCAGCCTCCCAAGTGCTGGAATTACAAGCATGCACCACTCTGCCTACATTTTGTTTTGTTTTTGAGATAGGGTTTTGCTGTGTAGTGCAGGCTGACCTTGAACTCACTATGTAGTGCAGGCTGGCCTCTTAACTCATGGTAATTCTCTGGCCTCAGCCTCTTCTGAATGCTGGGATTACAGGCATGTGCCTGTTTAAAATGATATCTTCTATCTCGTGTTTTGTCCTAGGTGAGGAAGCCAGTATGGTGATAGTTGGAAAAATTTCATTCTGCCCCAAAGATGTGCTAGGCCATGGAGCTGAGGGCACCATTGTGTACAGGTGAGTGGCGTAGCTAGTCCCATGCCCTCCCATCAGGTGTGTGAGCGTCTGTTGAGTTACAGATCAACAGGTTCCTGGGGCACAAGAGGACCAAAGCAGTGACCCAGGCAAGTAAGTCCTGTCTCTGGGGAGCTCACACACGGAGAGACAAGTGATGGCCCCGCACTGCAGCTGGTGGTCAGGCCCTTAGGCTGTGGGAGTATGAGACGTCTCCTGTGTCACAGGGAAACCCTGTGGGTCCTGGGTCTCACCCTGTTTCCACTTGCATGCACCACATACACTTGCCACTCCCTGTCCTGCAGGGGCATGTTTGACAGCCGCGATGTGGCTGTGAAGAGGATCCTTCCCGAGTGTTTCAGCTTTGCCGACCGTGAAGTCCAGCTGCTGCGAGAATCAGACGAGCATCCCAATGTGATCCGCTACTTCTGCACAGAGCGGGACCGGCAGTTCCAGTACATTGCCATTGAGCTGTGTGCAGCCACCCTGCAGGAGGTGGGCCTGGCTGGCCCGGACCCAGCCGTTTGCCACAACCACTGCAACCTCCTGTCCTCTACTAATTGGGATGTTGTCTTAGGGACCTCAGATTTACTATTATTACATTTGTTAACTTTATTGAAGTGTAGTATAGTGAAGTGTATTTGTTCTAAATGTACAGTTTGAGGTACATTGACGCATGTGTATATCTACTTAACCACAAATACCAAATGTAACACATGGGTTAGTCCACTCTGTGTGCTCGGGCAGCCTTGGGTTGTGGTTGGCATGACTGCCCATGTTGTTTCCTGGGAGCTCAGTCTGTTCCTCCCATCTCTGTTTGTGTCTGGTGTGGGCTTGGAGGTTGCCAGTTGCTGACTCCAGGCTGAAAGATCCAGCAAACTCCTCAGTTTCCTGGCGTAGGCAGTGAATTTGAGTGTCTCACCTTACATTTCTCACTGTAAATTAGTAAATTGGAGTTCTATTTGTTTGGGTCAGCCCATTCTTTCAGGAGGTCTGTTGGAAAATACAGATGTTGACAGAGAATGTTGTCGATAAAATGGGATCAAAGGAAAGGAGCTCAGGAGCCAAACAGGGCTGTATGCCCTGACCTAGCCATTGTGTCTCCTGCAGTACGTGGAGCAGAAGGACTTCGCCCACCTTGGCCTGGAGCCCATCACCTTGCTACAGCAGACCACCTCAGGCCTGGCATATCTCCACTCCCTCAACATTGGTGAGAGGTCCCTAGGCCGGGCCAAGAGTAACCACAGCTGCCTGGTGCAGAGGAGGAGGGGTTATGAGATGGTCTCTTAACAAGTTGTGTGAGAATTTAAGATAGAACCTTATGTGCTGAAAATCAGAGCTTTAGAGATGACAGCAAGTGTATTGGGGGTCCTGTGAGGACTGCTCCATCTCATAGGAGGCTTGGCTTGCTTGTGTAAGCGTTATCCCAGTGACAGCGAACATTTCAGAGACCAAGTGCCCGAACTGCAGCCCTGAACTCACTTATGTATTGTGAAGTACCAGCACTGCACTTAAACCTGAATACTGTTTTAGTTCAGAAACAATCACTGTTATCCAGTTCTTGGCTGCTGGGACAGCTTGGCTTGCCTGCTGACAAGAGAGGGCTCTGCATGTCATAGGTTTGCTACCAGTGCATTATATAAAACTGGAATTCTCTCTTAGTTCACAGAGATCTGAAGCCCCACAACATTCTCCTCTCCATGCCCAATGCACATGGGAGGATCAAGGCCATGATCTCTGACTTTGGCCTCTGCAAGAAGTTAGCAGTGGGCAGGCACAGTTTTAGCCGCCGTTCTGGGGTCCCTGGCACCGAAGGCTGGATCGCTCCAGAGATGCTGAGTGAAGACTGCAAGGAGAACCCTGTGAGTAAAGGGAATAGTGTTCTGAAAACCTGAGGCCCGATCCATGGTATTTTCAGGAGTCAGAACCTTTAGTATTCAAGGTGGGGGCTGGGCACATGTCGCTGGAAAAAAACATTCCTGGGGCTGGGGATTTAGCTCAGCCGCATAAGCACCTGCCTTGCAAGCAGGCCGTCGTGAGTTCGATCCCTGGTACCGATAAAAATGAAAAAGACAAAAAAAAAAAAAGAAAAAGACATTCCTTTAGCAAAGCACTTCGGTGCCAACTTTCCATACACTCTAATGTGCAGACATAAGGTGGGACAAATAGAATTTGTTTTGGTTTTCCTACGCTTCTGATCACTTTTCTTTTTGTAGCACTGATGTCTGAAACTAGGGCCTCATATGCTAGGCAAGCACTGTACCACCGAGCTACTTCTCCAGCCTTTTTATTTGTATTTTATTTTGAGGGACTCGTTAAATTGCCCTGCTGGTCTTGAACCTGCAGTCCTTATGCCTCAGTTTCCCAAGCAGCTAGGATTACAGATGTGTACCCCCAGGCTGGGCTCTTCCAATCACTTTTGACCCCCCTTTTATATTTTGGGATAATCAGGACTTGCATAAGACGGTCAGACCTCCAGTTTCATTGTTTTTATATCTGTTTCTATTTTCTCAGCTTTTTAGTTTGAGCATTTTTAGATATACAAGAAATTGAAAGCATGTTATTAAGACCTGTGTACCTCCACCTAGATTCAGCCTTTATTGACACTTCTGGTACGTTTGCATTATCTTTTATTTATTTGTCTATTTTGTCACTGAAGCCTTCAAATGGAAGTAGCAGGCGTGCCAGTCCTTCACCCCTCACCACTGCAGCATGTGTCTCTGAGGCCGAGCACCGTCTGCTCCCTCACTCCTATGTCAGTACCAGACGCGGGGCTCAGTACTGCCTCAGCCTCTCATCTGATGGTTGCTGCATGTTTACAGCTCACATTAGTCCCTAAAAGTCTTTCACACAGCAGGGTTTCGTGTGTCTCGTGCTGCATTTAACTCTGTCTCTAAATTCACAATAGTCTTCCATCTGTTTTGGTCTCCAGTGCTGGTATTTTGGAGCCCAGGCAGCGGTTTGTAGACTGCACCGTCTGGGCTTGCTTGTCTCCTGTGGCAAGGCTTCACATCTCTCGTATTCCTTGTATTTCTTGTGAACTAGAAGTTACGTCTTTCGGCATAATTAGATTCAAGTGAAATGTTTGGGGCAGAGGTGGATCCCAGCTTGTGGCACCAGGAGATACATGATGCAGATTGTACCATCATTACTGTACCTCTGCCAGGGGTGCTAATATGGGCCATCTGTAGCAGCTGTCACTCCACCGAGAAAATTCATCTCCCCTTCGTTTTTAGCGAGTCACTTGTGGGGTGACCCCTTGACAGAGTGTGTGGCAGTCACTGGCCCAGGGGCTTTCATTCTTGCCTGAAGCATTCAATGCGATGACATTCTTCTCCATTTATTTACTGACAGTTTTTAGGTAAAGAATAGCTTTATTTTTATTGCCTGCTCTTTCTCCTCCTTTCCTTCCTCCTCCTCTTCTTTTCCTTATTCACTGTGGATTCAAGAATTTTTTTTTTTTTTTGGGATAAGGTCTTGCAGTGCAGTTCAGGCTGGCCTTGAACTCACTATGTAGCCCAGGCTGATCTCAAACTCAAGGAGATCCTCTTGCCTCAGCCTCCCGAGTGCTGGGATTACAGGCATGCACTACCATGCCTGGAAAGGATTTTTAAATAGTGTCATAATCAGTTTTTTTTTCTGTTTCCTTTTTCTCCTTCTGATACTCAATTTGTCCCAAATTTCACCAATAAGAGTCCCTTCAAGCTGGTTTTGGCATCCATTTGCCAAGAGCCCCTTGCAGTTGAGTATCTTACTCACTGACACAAGAGGTCATTCACAGGCTCACCGTACTGGGCATGGTGGCACTCCTCTGTAATCCCAGCACTCAGGATGCTGAGGCAGAGGGATTGCCATGAGTTCAAGGCCAGCCTGAATGACCTAGCAAGATTGTTTTTTGTTGTTGTTGTTTGTTTATTTGTTTTTTTTTTAAAGGCCACCTTGTCCTTCCTGAACCAGACCAGGGCGAGCCAGCCATCCTGACAGATTATACACAATAGAAGCACTTTTACCATTTTAAACATTGTACTTCAATTTAAAGCAAGTAATGCAGTTCTTTAAGCAGTAAGAATTTTTGGCTGTAGGTCAGGATGTGTTCTTTGGATTTGGGCCTGATTGGAGTTCTTCTTTACTCTTGAATTAAGCACATTCACAGGTCACTGCTGTGGCCTGAGTGAAGCTCGGATGTTTCACACGGTCCCTAACAACTTGAGAGTTGAGTCAGTTTCTGTCTCTTTACAGCCTGTTCCTCACTGTGCTATCTTACTTAACCCCACAGCAGTTCTCTGGCCAATTTTATTGACTCTTCCCAGTGAGTCCACTTACCACAGACTTTGTGGCACTCATATTTTATCAGCTTTGAGAGTATTCAAATGGCGAGCAGCAGCAGCGGCAGTAATGTGTTTGGGGAAGGACATAACTGGGAGCCCAGGTAGGCCGCACAGGTGGCTTGTTCCTTCATCATTGCCTGTGCCGGGGTAGGAGGCACACGGCTGCAGGAAGCTTGGGCAGCACAGTAGGGTACTGTGAGAAGGTTGGGCAGCATCAGGTAAGGGCACAGCTCCGGGGACTGGGTCCTTTCTGTCCCATATCTGTCACCTGTCCAGAGAAAATTCTGGCGAGGTAGAATTAAGACTTCCCAGTTTAAAATGTGAAGACCTTAGTCTTGCCCTGGTTGGTACAAACAACAGGGACCCTAGTTTATCCTTAAACCCTTCTGTTTGTGTCCGTATCTGAGATGGTGACATATGCTCTGCTTCCCCTACGAGGCTGTCGTGAAGCTGAATGTACCATATTGGAAAAGGTTGATTTTATAACGTAGATGGTAGTGAGTTGCTAGCTTTCTCTCATAATTTGTCTGGTGGAGAATCTAAGAGGTATAGCTCAGCAGTTAGGACCCTAGGCATGCTTGGGACCTGCATTGTCGGACCCTAAATAGCGTGAGCTGTAAGGAAATGTGTGTTTCCTTAAAAGCTCATCTGTAGACTGAGTGATTTTGAAGGATAAGGCAGAGGCATTATCAAATAATATCAAAAACCCACGCCTTGGGAACTTGTCAGGTAGTTTCTTTCCAGATCTGTTTTTAAACTGAAATCTGTCTACACTAACCCTCCTGTCCCTGGGGGCACAACAGGAATGCAGACACACAAAGGTCCCTGCCAACAGAGACTTTCCTGTCCTTTCTTTTGGGTGAAAAATACTTGACAGCTAGGAGAGCTTTTGGGGGCCAAGAGCTGCTGTACACAGTGTATCAGATCTTCAGGCAGGCAGTGGGGTGAGGAGCAAACCGTCACTGTCCCCTTACATCTCACCCTCTTTGGATGTAAGGAAGCTGAGGATGAGGTAGTCAAGGGCTTCCCCAGAGCTGGCATCCCACGCCTTTGACCCCGGGTCCCTTGTCCTCCACAGTGACCACAACACCAGGGCGGTACCGCACATCCATCAGCTGACTTCCCAGGACCCCTTCCGGGCTAATGTGGCCACGGTGCTTTTTCCCTCCCTGGCTGCGAGTGAGGTGTGGACTCTGCACCTCTCACACTGTGTGTTTCTTTTCAGACCTACACGGTGGACATCTTCTCCGCGGGCTGTGTCTTTTACTATGTCATCTCTGAGGGCAGCCACCCTTTTGGCAAGTCCCTGCAGCGGCAGGCCAACATTCTCCTGGGCGCCTACAGTCTTGACTGCTTCAACCCGGAGAAGCATGGTAGGTAGCTGGGCCTTGGGCTGCCATGCCCTCTGCACTCCCAGAGTCCCTGCCAGCCAGCTGCATCCCCTGACCTCAGAGATGGCTGGCCAGGGTAACCCGTGACCTGGGTAGGCCCCCGCTTTTCCACCTTGCCGTGTGAGGGTTGAGTAACCTAGGTTCTTTCTGTACTGGCATTTGGGCGGACAGCTTGGCATGTGCTTCATAAACTGCACTCAGGCCGTGGTCAGCAGACACAGTTGATGCTGGGCTGGGGACAGACTGGCTCTGTCCATGCTGTCCTAGCTCAGATGCAAAAAGTCTGTTTTCCAGAATCTGGGAGTTGTTGGGTTATACTTGTCCCATGATATTCCAGTGCTGCCTTTTGAAAAATTAAAACTAACATTGTTTTGCTTATGGGTTAATTTTTATTATTCATTGTAGAAAAACAGATGAGCAGAACATTATGTGAGGGTGAATGCTGTTAATGCCCTGATATATGTTATCCTAGCCATTGACCTAGACATTGATACAGACTTTCACAAAACCGAGGTTAATCCATACCTCCTACTTTGCGCTGGGCTCATTTTTCAACTTCACCCTAAGTGGCTGTGTCACTCGATACTGCACTGCAGGATCATTTGATGGCTCATCATCCAGTACCCAGAGGCATAGCACAGTGTCTCCCCAGGCTCTGCTAGTGGATCTTTCCCGTCCTTTTCACAAAGCACACAGTGAGAACTCCCCTTACTAGCAGAAGTGTGTTGTGAGTTCTTAATTATTTTACTGGAATCAGTTGTAAATGGAATCCTGCATCAAAGGCCGTGAAAATTTTGGGATTTCATTGTGGCTTTGCGTTCAAAATCGTGAGCTGCCTATTTATTTTCCTCCCTTTTAGAAGATGTCATCGCACGTGAGTTGATAGAAAACATGATCGCGATGGATCCCCAGCAGCGGCCTTCAGCGAAGCGCGTGCTGAAACACCCCTTCTTCTGGAGCGTGGAGAAGCAGCTCCAGTTCTTCCAGGTGCTCGCTTCTGCCTTCAGGGTCTCCAGATTCTGAAATGTGGAAGAAAATGACAAAGAGTAAAACAAATGACCCTAATCCCATCACCAGGGGGTCACGCTGTATATACGGTTTTGTATGCTTTTTTACTGTCCATAATAGTTTAAGGATTTTTCATGTTAGAGTTCTAAAATGTTAGTGATTGTAATATATCATGTGGATCTGCCATAATCTTTAAATTTTATATTATGGAATTTCTAAATATACACAAAAGTAGACCAAATACTTGCTATTACCCATCTCCCAGCTTTGACAAGTACTAACCTCTGCCCTTGCTCCACCCAGATTATTCCAAGCAAATCTCCGGCATATATAATTCGTGAAGGGGTCATACTTCACATAATTCCTGTGTGGAACTTTTTGCCCGTCACCTATTCAGTCTTTACCCAGAGCTTACTTTGCTGGGTGAGAGTCTGCAGAGTAAGAGTATGAGCTAAATGAGTGTGGGTTCGTTGGTGGTTGGACAGTGGTGGCCTTGTGACCTTGCCAGGTGGCTTTGTAGAGACTGTGTTTCTCAGATTTACACAGCAAGAGTTGAGCACAACTCACCCAGTGCCTCCCGCCCAGCACAGGGATCTGGGGACAGGGCTTTCCCCTGGGTCTGGGCAGAGTGGGCCTTGGTGAGTGCTGTGATTCAGAAGTGACGGTCACACTGTCCTGGAGCAGCAGGTTAACACTGCTTTCCAAGGCAGCAGTGAGAGTGGCTCAAATCAGGATCCAAAGGACGTAACAGGACAGTCACTTGACGGCAAAACGGGAATAAAACTTGTACAAAAAGACACAGATTAGGGTTAGTATCTTTGAGTCGTATGTGTTACAGCTAGTTTCCATCCACGTCAACTAGCTATAACTGCTTTATAGCAGAAACGCATCCCCAACATGCCCAGGGTGGACCTCTCCAAAGCTTTTCTCTAGAATTGCAAATTAGTTCAGCCAATCTGACTTCATTGTTTTCAGAGAAAGACAAGATTAGGATTCTCCTAAGGCTGCTTAGAATTAACAAGGTTGGGGTGGGGGCTGGCGATTTAGCTCAGCGGCATAAGTGCCTGCCTTGCAAGCAGGCAATCGTGAGTTTGATCCCGGGTACGATAAAAAGGAAAAAGACAAAAAAAAAAAAGAATTAACAAGGCGGTGCTGGTCAGTCCCCGCTCCTTGAGTAGCTGGGTGGCCTACTGTCTTACCACTGGTGGCTCAGAGGGGCTGGTATTCAGGGTACCCTTCTTGCCAAAATCAAACACAGAAAAGGGCCTGAATTTGGTGGGAAGGGAGTGTCTCCAGAGCTCTTACTCTATGAAATTTCCTCTTCAAAAAAAGAGGGCTCAGTTTCCTTCCCTTCGTTCTTTTTTTCCGTTTCTTTCCTTTCCTCCCTGCCCCCCATTTGGTGGCACTGGGAATTGAACCCAGGACCTTCATGCTGAGCTGCATTCCCAGCTCTTTTTTTTTTTTAACTTTTGAGACAGGATCTTGCTAAACTACTGAGTTGCTAGGCTCGGCTTGCACTTGTGATCCTCCTGCCTCCTGCCTCAGCCTCTCAGGATGTTGGAGTTGTAGACTTGTGTCACTTTGCTCAGTTTACTTCATGTTTTTCTGGTGTTCAGGTGAGGAGTGGGGACCTCTGCTAGTTAGGGTTTCAGCAGGGCCCATCTCAGTGAGTCAGTGCAACACACTGGGTAAGTCAGTTCAGGCTTATTCTTTCCTTTCATTTTGATTCATTGGCAAATACAGATTGCGCTGTGCCTCTGTGTAGACGTGGTACCTGTGTCTGGAGGCGAACTTCTGCAGATACTTTCTCATCTGTGCGCGGTGTACCCCTCTCTGTTGTGCAGTCTCTCGACCTGTCCCCATGAGCAGCAGCCACAGCTACCCACAGGACAGAAGTTGTGGGTTAGAGTGGCGGACCGCAGCTCCTGCCCAGCTTTGAGGGGGCAGCAGCCTGGGCCCCAGGAACATCAGTGTGTTTCCAGCTACCTAGCAGTAGCCATTCATGACATTGTGTGACTGACCTCCTGTGCTCGGCGTAGGTCACACTGACCAGCGTCTTTGCCTTGTTTTCTTCCCAGGATGTGAGTGACCGGATAGAAAAGGAATCCCTGGATGGCCCGATTGTGAGGCAGTTGGAGAGAGGCGGGCGAGCCGTGGTGAAGATGGACTGGCGGGAGAATATCACCGTGCCCCTCCAGACAGGTGGGCATGCCGCTGCCGTGAAGAAAGGCAGCAGCTGGTTCTGAGGAATAGCATGGGCTGAGCAGGTCCAGCTGTTTGGGCTCCACATCCCATTCCTTGAGTTGGAGATTTTCTCGGGTGTGTCCTCTGGGCTTGGTTACACGGTGGGACCTTGTGTCTTCGGATGACAGATTAACGCCAGTGTCATGCTCCAGGGGGAGTGGGATGAACACCACCCTTAGCTCAGAGGTGGGCCATCCGTTCTTGTGACCACACTTGAAATGATGTCACATTTCAATCCAGTTGCTCATTCCTGGGGCCCTAGGAATGATTCTCTTTTAAACAATGTATTTGTTATTTGCTTAACCATCACATCTCCTAATGTTTTTCTAGATTTGCGTAAATTTAGAACCTACAAGGGTGGCTCCGTCAGAGATCTCCTGCGAGCCATGAGAAACAAGGTAAAGGGCTGTGGCTGCTGGGGGCAGGAGGCTGCCACGAGGTCACCACTCTTCTTGCCCGGGTGATCTTGAGGAAGCTTTTCTTCCTACTGGGTTCCACCTTGCTGAGGCTACATGGCCCCAGCTGGACCTGAAAGTTAAAGGCTGTTTCCTCCCCTCACGTAGGTTTTCTCTTGGGGTGTTGGGGGACATAGTTAAGCACTGGGGAGCAGGGTCTCTGAGCCCATGTCCTTCGTCTTGAGACTCCCTGTGTTTCATGATGCCCTCCAGCTGCCTGGCAGCCGTCACACAAACAAATGGGTAGGGATCCTCGGGGCACCTCGCTATACAGGGCCTGGTCTCCAGGGACTCAGGGTTTCCTGCTTGTCCTCTGGGGAACCTAAGGGTGATCATGGTCTGTGCCATCGCCAAGCAGCCTTCAAACAGGGACCTGTCCCGAGCACAGAAGTGACCTCCTAACTCTTGGGACACATGCTTCAGTTCAGGTGATGTCACCCCATGCATCGCTGCCAGGACCCTCTCTCTGGCCTGGGCACCCCTGCTGGCCCTGCTGCTCAGCAGTGGAGCTGCACGCCTGCCCAGGCCAGGCCTTGCGTGCTGTAAGGCATCTTCCTGAAAGGGAAGCTGGCGGGCTGATTGGGACGCATAGGGCCCACGGAGCGCTTTCCCTTCAGAGAGGCAGCTAGCACTGTGTCTCCCAACTGCTAAGTCTGTGTCTCCTGCCCATTTGCAGAAGCACCACTACCGGGAGCTCCCTGCGGAAGTGCAGGAGACGCTGGGCTCCCTCCCCGATGACTTCGTGCGCTACTTCACGTCACGCTTCCCCCACCTCCTGTCACACACCTACCGTGCCATGGAATTGTGCAGCCACGAGAGACTCTTCCAGCCCTACTACCACGAGCCCCCGGAACCCCAGCCCCCAGTGACTCCAGATGCCCTCTGAACTAGGGCGACTCCTCTATTCTGGTGGCTGCAGCCATGACAACAGGTCTGGTCTCTGTAGTCCAGAGCTTGACACCACCCCAGCTTAGCAGAGAGACCAGCTTCCCAAACCGAGTGCCTTGAGCTGCCCCCTCTGCAGCCAGCAGAGGATAGTGCCAACCCCAGGAAGTGGGAGAAGCAGCCTCGAGACCTCCGAGGAGTGGGGAGGAAGTTGGCCTTGGAAGCTGCTCTCTAGTTTAGAGACACCTACAGGCAGGCTCGGCACAGAGGCTGTGAAAGGAGCCCTGCTGACCTTCTGCTGGGTGAGCTGACCTGCTGGATGAGGTCACCCTGACTTCCGTCTCTGTAAAATCCCTGTTTGATGGAGGTCTGTGGGCCTTTCAGGAAGGGAGTGGAAGAATCCTAGGTTTTGCCTGCTGGGCCCAGCTATGCTAGGATGTAGGAAGTACAGCCTTTGCTAGAAGCAGGCTCCAGTGGTGAGAGATACGGAGGAGAATGACATTCAGAGGTATTCTGGGGGCAGAAGGTGCCTCACTGATCACAAATGTGCCCACAGCCTCCCAGCTTACTGATAACAGTGTTTCCTTAGGTAGCGAAGCCAGTGGTTAGGGACTGGCCAGCAATGGTTGTGGACGGTTGAGACAGGTCTGTGGGTCTCTGGAAGGTGAAGAGGGTGCTGTGTTCAGAGGCAGTGCTAGCTCAGAACGCTGGTGACCTGGCAGGTGGAGCAAGAGAAAGAGTTCCCTGCCACCAGTAAGGGCAGCTGAGACCACACAGGGACCCGTCTTCAGGATGAGAGGGTCCGAATGGGAGCCTCCAAGCCATCCCGAGAAGATCCTGAACCAGTTGTGGGGGATACGGCTGCTCTGTCTCTGGCCAGCAGGTCTGGACGCATATGGCAAAGCAGGAGCCTGGGGGTTGGGAGCCAAGGCCAGAGTCACTGTGGGCTTTGTGGGCCAGCTTTTATGTTTCTCCTGGCAAATTTTAATGGCTATATTTCGATCGCATTGTAGAATGCTATGATAGCATAAGTAACTGAACATGAACCCACTTATGAAGAAGAAATGCAAGATACAGTGTCCTCGATTTTGAGTGGTACCAAAAATCTCCACCCCCTCAAGTGTATTCCATTTAGAATACTCTCTGATGCTGAAGGGTAAAACATTCTAGCAACACTATGTCTGAGTTAATGTCAAAGTAATGTTCCCTGAGTTACACCACTACGCTTTTTTCTCTAAAATCAGTATAATTTTAAACTTTGGTTTCAGTCAAAACTCCTTCTCCCTGCTGAAGGCCTCAGAGGTCAGGGTGCAGAGGGTCCGTGGGAGGAAGTGCTGTGTGCCTGCTTCCTCCCGCTGCGAGGCCACTGCCATCCAGTCCGGGCAAGCGGAGTCTCAGCTCCATTGTTTCCAAGGAAGAGTGGCATCGGCAGCTTTGGGCACCGACAGGAGTCATTCCTGCTTCCTCCTGGAATATTTCTGATTGTGTTTGTGTCAGGGACCACACATCCAAAGTTTGTTCTGCCTTTGAAGGATTTATTTCTGCTTTCATAAAGGCCAGAGTGACCTTTTCTTAGTATCAATATGATCTGATCTTGCATCTTTAAACCTCAAGAATGACCCTGCTTCCGCCTTGGACAGCCTTTCCCTTGGCCTCCTCGGCGTCTCCTGCCACATGGTCCGTCTCCCAGGGACACAGCCGGGTTGTTCGCGCTTGCTTTGATGCACCTGCGCCGTCTCTGCCTTCTGCCACCCTCCACGTGCTCCGTGTGCTTTGCCTGGGGGTCGGAGGGACAGCCCAGGGGAGTGTCAGGAGGTGTAGGAGGTGCCATGTGTCCCCGGACAGGACTGCCATGGGGACCGCTGCCGCCTTGTTCCTGTGGCTGAGTTTTTCCTCCAGGAAGTGCTGTGTGATTTCTACTGGCCCAGTTTGTTGTCATTTCCATATTTTTAGCCCAATTTGCCTGGAGACAGATTTTTTTTTGGTCCTTTTCTACTCGTCACATTCATTTCTCACCATCCAAATTTCCCACACTCCTTTACTCAGCATATTTTATTTGAGGGTTTACTGTATTGAAGTGAGTAGGGAAACTGGAGAGCCTGACAGCCAGCCTCTGTGTTTGTCAGGCTTCCTGTGCAGAAGCCCGCAGCAAATAGCACTGCGCTACACAGAATCAAGCAGGCGGGAAAAGGCACGTGTTCGCGGTTTGCACAACTTCTGCCTTAAAATGTCCAAGACTGTCCAAGATTCTGTCGGCTCTGCTCAGGTCACCTTCTGTGTCTTCTCTGCTCACATTCAGGGACCCAGCACTGGTCAGTCAGGTCTGTCTGAAGGGTTCTTAAGACATTTGTTTTGAAAACATCTTGGACACCATCTGGTGTATCCCATTTGAGTCTAGAATTCCAGTTTCCCATTGTGCTCTCTCAGGGGAAGCTTTGTGCCTCTGTAGTTCAAGCTCTAGGGCTTCTGTGAGTCCTGGGAGGCTGTTTAACGTTTTAGGAGTTGAGTGTCTCCATCTGAGGACTGAGCTGTATGTGTTAGGAATCGGAGAACCTTGTAATTTATTCAGGTCTTGTCTTGAGCCATGTGTGGAACTCTTCCATCCCATGTGCCAGAATTTCTGTCATTGCTTCTTGAGCCTTTGGTTTCAGTTGTTGAAAAGTGCTGCATGTCCCTAGGCACCAGAGCATTTGCACTTTCAAGAACACTGGTATCCCCTGATCAGTCACAAGAGCATCTGGTGGCTGGACGTGAATCCTGGGCGCAGCGGCCCCCTGCTCTTGGGGCAGTTATGTCTCATGCAGGATCTTCTGTGAGATGGCACTGGTCAGTCACAGACCAACACTGGACAGTGGCCCAGCAAAATGCTTTCTTCCCAGCCTCTAGAGAGGTTTGTGTGTGTTCAGTAATCCAGTTACCACTGGTAGTCAGTCCCTTCTTACCGCAGTAAGAGTGAGTAATTGGCTACTGAGAGAAACTTCCACAGACGCAGCCTGGGTGTTGCTGGCCTCTGCCCTCCTGGCCACTCTCTTTTCAGCAGTGGACTTTGTCCGAGGGTGGTTTTCCCTGTGTTTCCGTTCTCCATCTGTTCACTGGATCCTTGTTCTTTGTTTTCATTATTCACTGGTCAGAAGATAGGAGAGCTGGAAGGATGAGCAGATGCAGCAGCGCTGGGAGGACCCTTTGGGCCCCCATTCGCCCTTCTCTCCGTTCTTTGGCTTTGGAAGCGGCATCTGTGTTTCCCGGTGCGTCTCTCCCTGGCTCCGGGTGCAGTGGTGTCACTGACTGTGGCCTGGCCTCGGCCTTTTCTGGAAGGAGGTCATCAGCCATCCTATGCAGGGCGCCCAGCTTCTTCCTTCCAGGATTGGATCCTTAATCTTTTAAGCCAAAGTATCTATTCTTTTCTTGTTCTTTGTTGCCTTTATGAAGCAGTAATTTTCCATGAATGACTCTGGCTCTGATTTTTTTTTTTCAACATCTCAATCCTGTCTGTATTCATTGGAAGACGACAAAGGATGTACCTGCCATGAGCCTCCCTTTGGAGCAGCCTGCACCCGCTGCCAGCTAGAGTCCCCACTACTTGGCGTTGCCTGTGTTCCTGTCTCTTGGGTACGGTATTCCTTCCCAGCGTCCCTAGGTCTGTGCCGGAGAGTTCCTGCTCACCTACGCATTACCGGTCAGCTGTGTGGCATTCTCACATGTGAACCTTGTGGAGTGTTCTTTTTTGCAATGACCTATTTATTGAACCTATTTATATTTATTTAATTTTTACTCTGAAGCATATCTAGTTACATTTGCACTTGCTTAAAAGCACATCAGATCTGGTTTGGACAGCACCCCTGACCATTTTAAAACTGGAAAAGGAAGAGTTATACTGTATCCTTCCATGGCATAAATGTTTTGTCTTTAGTGGGTGAATAATCTGGTCAGGGTAAAATGCTAATTCTTAGGTGATTTTTTTTTAATCGTGTGCCATTGTGTCTTCTCTGTGGATGGTTGTTTTAATTGGTATGTGTTAATTGTGATAAAATCCTATTTGTGGAACCTAAGATTCTCTTTTTAGCTTTATATTTTATAAACTGCCAGATTTTTATGTGTATTTTTATGTGTATTTTTAAAGTTTGATGATATGAGGGTCATTATCTAAAGTTAAAAGGCCTATTTTTGTACCTCTTGTACAGTTTTATAATTCTGCTGATTGATGACGGCATCTTACGTTGAGCCAACTACAAATAAAGGTAGTTTTAGATTTGAGAGTCAGTTTGTCTTCTTAAAGACTCAAGCACCACTCACAGGCAAGGTTCTGATTCTGCTGTGGTGGGGGTGGGGAACATTCTCAGCCTAAGCGGCCGGCCCAGCTGTAGGTCAACATCCTGGTGTGTACAGTGGACCCTGGGGCTGGATCATCCTCCCTGAGGGCTGCTTGTGGGGAAGCTTCCCTCAGACATTGCAGGAAAATCCCAGAAGTATTACTTGAGCTGAGTTTCCGCAGGGTGGCCAGTTAGAACGAACATGCCCCAAGGTGATTTTGGACCCCAAAATAAAGTGTGGGGTGGGTGTACAGTCAATAGAATCCTGGGCCAAGAAGCTAAGAGCAAAGAACTGCTGAGACAGCTTGGCTAAGAAAGCTCTGGAAGCTAACTCACCTGGAGGATGTCTGCAGCGCATGAGACAGCCACGCCCATGCCCAGGAACAGCGCCACTCTGCTGGCAAGTGAGGACCTCCCGGTGTGCCTGCTCCCCGGCCCAACCAAGCTTTCTGGAGAAGTCAGGGAGGTGCTGCAAGCTCTTGCACCAGGCCAGGGGCCACTCACAAAGGAAGGACCTAAAGGGCCTGCCAGACCTGGGACACCTCAACAGGAACTGCGTGAAGGCAGACTGCCCCTTCCCCATCTTGTGTCTTAGAAGCCCCCAGGAGCAACAGAGAGGCCTGTGGACACCCACTGTCTCTGAAGGGCTGGTCTTGAATACAGCCACATCCTCGGGATAAAGAGAAGTGAGACAGTGCCCTCTCTCACTTTGTGCAGCAGTGGACACAGCTCTTAGATTCCTGTTGGGCTACTAAGCAGGGTTGGGGATGGCCCAGGCCTGGGAGAGGCCATTCGAGGTGGGTAGCTCCCTCTAACCGCCTCTCCTGCCTCTGAGAACAGAGCAGTGCAGGACCTCCAGGGAAGCTGGCAGAGGGGACCCTTCTCCAGGCCATCCACTGGCACAGTCACAGTTGATTGTCCAGGGGGTCCTTGAGGTGGGTTGCAGCTTTGCATTCTGAGTCAGTGTCTACCTGTGAGGAGGAGCTTTCTCCTGCATGTTTGACACATTTAATTAAGCATGTAGCCAAAACATGCATTCACATGTATCTTCTAACAGTAAATACATCCACTTATCCTTTCTGTTTATATTTGTACTGTCTGTGGCAAGGTATGATCTGTAGTCTCTGCCAAGTGTGGTAGCACTTACTTCTAACCCGAGCACTCTGGTAGACCAAGGCAAGCAAATTTCAAGTTCAAGTGCCACGCTGGCAGTTTAACAGCTTAGCAAGACCCTATCTCAGATAGGCATTGTCTGGAGATGTAGCTCAGTGCAAAGGCCCTAGCTGCAATCCCCAGTACCACAAAACAAAGCAAAATAAAATGGCGGTGGGACTGGGGAGCTGTAGCTTTTTTTAAGACATCATTTTTTAAAAAAATTTTTTTATTAGTACACATTTGCAGTACATAATGATCAATTCCTCGTGGGGAGTTGGTACATGTACATAACATACTTCATCTCCTTCCCACTTCCTCCGTTTTTTGGTGCCTTTTCCTTTGGCAAAAGATCTATCTCTCTGTTTCCTATTATCTATTATCTTGTTCTTTATTTGTACTTTGGGCTTCTCATATAAGAGCTATCATACAGCTGGGTGTGGCGGCGGCACATGCCTGTGATCCCCAGCACTCTGGCAGGGGGATCACTGTAAGTTTGAGGCCAGCCTGAACTGCATAGTGAAACCCTATGTCAAAAAGACAGAGAAAAAAATTACCATGCAACAATTAAGCTTGTTTGTCTGACTTGCTTCATTTAGCATTATGGTTCTGAGCTCATCTAAACACTTAACCCACCTGCCGCCTTCCCCCTTGGGCAGCCACCGTGCTGGAGTGTGTATGTCTGCTTGTCTGCTTCCCTGCTGGCCTGTTTTCTCTCCCTGCAGTTGGTATTTCCCTCGTGACTGGAAACAATATATTTCAGTGAGTGACTGGCCCTACCCTTTGCCAAGGCCAAAACCCAGATCATGAGCCTGTCTGCAGGACAGATGTTGAGAGAAAAATGGGGCTGGAAAAACATGGCTGCCCCTGTGGAAGCCATACTGACAGACAACAGGGGTGCGAGAGGGCCCGGCCCGGCCTCTGAGACAGCCCAAGAAGTGCTGCCTCTGTCATGTTCCTCCCTTCCCTGTTAGCTCTTTGCCCTCTCTAATCCACTTTCCCCTTCCTAGCTGGTCCTCACGGCTTGGATGAAGACACAGAGATGTTCTCAGAGTCTGCTGGCAGGAGCCACAAAGCTAGAAAGAGTAATTCCACGGCCCAGACCCAGCAGGAGCCCACACTGCAAAAAGCTGAGCCAAAACACAGGCCGATAGGCAGTCTGCCTTTTCATGAAAGAGGAAGCAAGATCAATGAGGAAGCCTTTCACCAACTTGTCTGTGTGCAGGCTGTGGCACATGCGTTCTGGCCTGTGCTTCATGCTTTGCTGGGCTTCATATTCTTGAATGATGGGGCTGGAGGTGGAGAACAGGGCTGTGAGGGGCTTGGAAACCATAATGGTAGATATTTGAGGAAATGAGGCGTTTAGACCAGAGAGACAGATGTAAGACCTGGTGTGTCCTTGTCATCTGCCACACAGTGAAGAGCTTCGCTGTTTTGCTTCAAAGAGTTGAAGTTAGACTAGCGGGCTGCTAGATCCAGGAGAGAGGACTGGCCTGCAGTGGAAGGAGGGTCTGGATCTCTGCAGGATCCTACAGTGGTGAAGTGGCACCTCCTGAACAGGCCTGGGAACATACTTCCTTGGGTGTGAGAGTTTAGACTCTGCTCCCTTCCAAAGGCGCATCTGTGACTAAAGCCAACCCCTCCTGTGATGAGTTGTAAAAAGGGCTGCCTGACCAGGTGTAGTCACAGAAGGCAAAGTGCGTGAAGGGATGTACCATAAAAGCAGCCCAGCTGGTCACGTTCGCGGACTGGTTGTTGCCAGGATCCTGCCAGAAGCATGTGGAGTGTTAGACACAGCACCGTGGAGGTTGCCGCAAGGTGAGAGAATCAGGACCCACTGAGCTCTGATTTCTGGCATTTTTTTCTGCCTCAGGCTTGAGAAAAGAAAACCAAAGGGGCAGCACAGGAAGGGTAGATAGACTCAGATTCAACAGACAGATTGAGAGAACCAGTGACATGGCCTGGGAAAAGTCACCGCCCTTCACTGGAGATTTTCCTCAGAGCTTAGAATTTCAAGATGGCAGGCTCCATTCACTTAGCAGCCCTCTCTCCCACAACTAAGCCTTTCAAAGGAGAGAAGAAATAAAAAGCTGCCTCAAAAATAAGTGGAACAAAAATGGGGAAGCCACTGGGACACTCAGGAGAGGAGAACAGACCCAAGAGGGAAACTCCAGCTGCACAGTAGGTGAGGGAGTTGGGAGGAAGTGACTCCAGAGAGCTCCCCAGCCACAGTGAGTGAGTTAATGTTCTGCTGTGGGCTAAAGCTTTCCTGGGACGCTCTCCCTGCCACCTGTCCACCATGTAGCAGGGTTTTTTTGTTTTGTTTTTGGTGGTGGTGGAATGTTTCTAGAAAAAAGCAGGGTAGAAACTTAGGGGCTCATGAGAGCCCATGAATCCTCTCCACACACAGCAGCAGCCACCAAGGTCCTCACCAAGGAGCTCGTCCCCCCACTAGCTGTTTTGCAGAGCACAGGCCTCAGGGTAGCTCCTGCTCTGCACCCAGAGGCAGCAGCCAGAATTCCTCTTCTTAGGGAGCCCACCTACTTTGAGAAGAGGCAACACGGTAAGATCACCTTAGAGAGGGGGGACATCTGAGGACACAGACTAGACGATAGAGGACAGAGTCACAATATCCTTAGAGATACTGTGGGAGGGGAGGGTGTCACGTGCATTTACCCTGAAAAAAACTCAGAAATGAGAACATAAAATTGTTAAAATCAGAAATCACAGAGTGAAGAGGCAATCCACAATGTGGGAAAATGTTTTCCAGCTATTCTTCAGACAAAGGATTACTATCAAGAACATATAAAGAACTCAAAAAAAATCAGATCTCCCAAATTTAAAGACCCAATCCAAAAATGGGCATCTGAACACACTTCTCCAGTAAAGACATACAAACAGCAAATATATATATATATATGAAAAAGTGTTCACCATCTCTGGTTATTTCAGAGATGTAAATTTAAAAAAAAAAACTGAGATCCCACCTCACCCCAGAAAGAACGGCTAGCATCAAGAAATCAAGCAATAACAAATGCTGGAGGGGCTGTGGGGAAAAAAGAACCCTTCTCCACTGCTGGTGGGAATGCAGAATGGTGCAACCATTGTGGAAATCAGTATGGAGATGCCTCAAAAAGTAATGTTCCTCAGGTTGCAAGCATTGGCTTAATCCAGAGTAATGAAAGTATAGCATCCAGGAGAAGGAGACACCCCAAAAACCCACAGGATGGAGTAGGAGGTGAGTCTTCTGCAAAAGAGTGAGGAAACTGTCATCGGGCTTCACGTCAACAAGAGGCTGAGACAAAAGCGCTCTCTGCAGGGCAAGAATCTTGAACCGACAGTTCTAAATCTAACTTCAGGCTTGTCTTAGTCACTTTTCTTGTTGCTGAGACAAAATATCTGATACCCAAAGTTAAAGGAGAAAAGATTTATTTGGTTTACATTTCATAGAAACTTTAATCCGTAATCTGCTGGCTCCAAGGCTGGGTGGCACGTGGCAGAGAGGCAACCGTCCACGGTGGCAGAAGTTGGCAAAAGCAACAAGGGAGAGAGAAGACAAACCTCTTTCTGTCCCTTATGTCATAAGCAGGCTACCCATCGTAGGGCCGATCCTAGCCAGAACTATGCCAGACCAGTCAATGGACTGATTGAGTAAGCACACACCCTTAATCCCAGCATCCCGCACTCTGGCTTCAGCCACCTCTGAAAAAGCTCTGTGACCACGCGAGCTTTGGGGGAGCGTTTAGACACAAACCAGAACATCTCTGTTCTAGAGGTGAGGATAAAATAAAG